TATATATAATCAAAGAATCAAGATAAATACATACTCATAATCTAATCAAATAATCTTCCTGTGGTGACATAATTTACATTATCACGGAGTCCTAAGTTCATACTTCAAGTAATGCTGGATTAATGAAATAAACGTAAACACAATACATTTGCATTACGAAAGTGAGTAGGCAGTGGTGTTAATGTAAACAAGCAGAATAATTTGCTCAAACGTAGAGGGGGAAATTTCATTTATGAGAAATCATACTTTGATCTATTCTGAGTATACACACAATAATGAGAATGAGAAATTCAAACGTCGTTAGTTTCTGGGTTATTTATTTGAAGGAATAACTCACCTGGAAACATTAATTTTACATTATTAAAGGTCAATCCTTTATCAGAAAAGAAGAATTTGAAAATTATTCTAAACTTCACAGGAACTCAAAACAATGGATTTTGCAGTGCAACGTTGCTCATTTCTGATCATAGTACGTGTTCAATGATTTACTTTATGATTGGTACAAATGTATATAGACCTACATAGTGGCTTCTTTGCAGGGCCTACTTTGGCCTCCGTGTAGGCCAAAGTGCCTTGTCTACCATTTCTAATGCTCTCCACCTGTCTCCGTCTTTGTTGTTGGTAACACGCTGACACTACTGATACCACTTCAAATATAGAATAATGTCAGTCTTATAGTTGAGGATTCAAACCTAATCCCGTCTGTGGGCCGGACATTAATCTTCATTTGCCAGTCTTCAACCAGTGTATTATTATCATTATTATTATCATCATTATCATTATTATTATTGGTAGTAGTATTACTATTAGTATTATTTTAATTTATTATTATTATCATTATTTTTATCGTTCTTTTCTTATTACTACATAATTTTTTATCATAGATATATCAATGAAATATCGTGGTGCTGCCCGCGAAGCATTGAAAAAGTAATTATATAATTAGTTCATATAAGAAATGCAGCCCGAATAGCAATGATGAAATAGGGTGAAACATTTACACCCAGCTATCTCTATTTCCATAATTTGTTTTCATTATTCACAACTTAATATGAATGTGAATATGAATATAAAAATATTGACTCGTTACGTGGTTGATACCAACCTTCTCAAATTCCCTCTCATTACATTAAATTAACGACATTAACTTCACTCGCCGTGTTAATTTCTGTTTGTAATTTCCGCACGCAGTATACGTTTGTAAATATACAAATGTTGTGAATCAAAATTATATCCCTTATCGTAAGATTGTTGCATTGGGAGTGTACACAACAAGAAAAAGAATAGTCTTACTATAAAAGACGTTTCCTGCCGACTACATCGGAATAGTTCATTTTTTATTGCTGACGTCACGCATAGTACCTTTTTCCCTAGGGAAAAAGGGTACTATGCGTGACGTCATGAAAGGGGGGGGGGGGGGATTCAGATGTGCGATAACTGCACTACACTAATGCAGTACCTGTATAGGCGGCTTATAATTAGCGCCAGCGGGTAGATGTGAATGTGAGTATACGGTACATGTTAAAGAAGTGTACAAGGAATGACAGATCGAAGGGATATAAAACAAATGTAAAATGACTCATTCTAGCTAAAACTATTCGCACTCAGGAACATCACTAGTACTATTCTCCCTCGGGCCGATGGCCCTCGGGGAAAATAGCACTAGTTGATGTTCCTTCGATGCGAATAGTTTCAGCTAGATCCTCGAGTGTCATTGTATATGTGTATAATATGTTTGAAATGCTATACTTGTCTTGAAACTTACAACCCTTTTCTCCCGTCATTAAATTTTCTCATGAATCTTAATCGTAAACTGGATAGTCCCCTTCCCCTTCAATGAGATGTACAGTGTAAAATATTAAAGTTAGAATATTCTTTCTGCTGTGTCATTGATTTTGTTTGAAATAACATTCAACATGGCATCGACTTCGAGACCTGCGAAAAAAGGGAAAGTTTTTGATGAAAGCAGAAACATCAAATTGGTCTCTGCGTTATTTCTTCATGATCCACTTTGGCTCATTTGTCACCCAGAAATCACGATAAAGAGTGAGCCTGAATTTTTTTCCTACTGATTTTGTTGTTTTCTTGTTCGTTTTTGCAAAATTACAGGTGTGTACATGTATTGAATAAGTGTGTGTGTGGGGGGGGGGGGGGGGGGAGACCCGGGGGAGACCGGGGGGAGGGGGGGGGGGGGGTACTCACATATTAGGACATACGGGGTGTACCGCTCTAATGATTCACTTTTTTACCCGAAAAATTCCCTAAACATGGGTCCCACATTTTACCATCAAAAATTTACGAAAAATACCCGAAAAATAGTGAAATGCCCCAAAGTTTCCCTCTAATAATGTTTAGGGATTTTGAGGCTTGAGCGGCACACCCCCGGTCAAACCAAATATGAGTAGGACTCTGAGAGGACTGAGAGGACTACATACGGCCCGCCAAGTTATGCCAATCGTTTACTGTGGTCCGCGAGCTTTAAAAGGTTGGCCACCCGTGCTCTATACGCTGCTGCCAATATATGGCGTACCAGTCATGAATGCTTACTTTATTTGTAAAAAGGTTTGTAACACTTGAGTTCCTTAGGGAAATGCAGTTTTTTTAATTGTCAAATCAAACGTCTTACTGCGTACTTGTTTTCTCAATTCATTATATAATTTCTATTTTGAAAACCTAAAGTTATCAAATTCACGTGGATGAACAGGATTTTTGTTAAAACATAATATTTTATCATTCCTTAGATTCAATGATATAAGATTACATTTTTGTTGAAAGGTGAACAAGATTTTTGTCATGAATTTGGTCATCGTGCAGTTTCTGAAGTTGACGTTATTCCAAAAGTTAAATTTTCGATATAACTAGAATATTTTCACGGCACCCCGGTTAAAAAAACGCTATACTAGATGGTCGAAATTTGAGGGGGCAGATTGACTCCCGAGAAGGGATGTAATCCTTGCTTCTTTTTTTGATTGAGAAAGAGCATATAGCTCTCATTTATTTATTCCAATATGTACAATAAAAACAAACAAGTTAACAGTATGTCATGCATAATTTCATGTTTACATCAAAATAACAGAGTAATACATACATAAAAGCTAATAATACAAATAAATGAAAGAAAAGGGTGTCCCGAAAAAAGTCTCAAGGGCTTGTAAGGAGGGGATCACCAGAGTAAACAAAAATCCCCCCCCCCAAAAAAACATAGTTGTATACAAATGAATCGTGAATAATGCTAACGACAGCCGGAGGGTGTGGCCGTTGCGACGCCACATTCCATCACTCTACAAAGCTGAGTGGCAAGGTAAATTGACATTATTTAATTTGATCATTTAGAGAGAAGGAATCTTTTTATTCGTTTTTTTCTTCAAAGTGCATTGAATTGTGTGTGTTGAATGTCAGAAGGCAAGGAATTCCAGATAATGGGGCCAAGGTAACGAACTGATTTTGAAAGTATGTTAGTTTCTGTTTTCCAGAGATGGAATTTGGCTGACTGTCGAGTAGAGTAAGCATGGACATTTTCGTTTAAACAAAAAAATTGAATAAGATAAGGAGGGAGGCGTTTGGTAAAAAACTTGTACATCAAAGAAGCAATCGATAATTTGTTAGAGTCATACACATTTAATGTTGAAAAACGGCGGAATAAAGGTAAAGAAGGGGCTAGATAATGAGCATTGGCACAAATTCGAAGTGCTCTTTTTTTAAGACGATGTATTCGTGATAATTTAGATGCATGTAATGAAGCCCATACCACATTGCAATACATAACATGAGGTAGAATAAAAGTAATATACATGGTAAATAGCAGTTTAGGTGGTAATATACATTTCACATTATTCATTATCCCAGTAATTTTTGATATCTTACTACAAGTTACATTAATGTGAGAGTTCCATGTTAAAAATTCGTCTAACTGTACGTCTAAGTATGTAAAAGTAGAACATTGTTTCAACTAAGACCCGTTTAGTAACAGTTTTACGTCAGAGTAGTCAGGTCTTTTATTTTGTTTATTCCTGAAAATTACAAATTTAGTTTTTAAAATATTTAACGACAATTTATTACAAACAAGCCTATTATACACATGGTCTATGCTTATATTAAACTTACGGACTAATGAATTAAAATTTATATCAGAGGCTATCAGTGACGTATCATCTGCAAATAAGACATATTTAAAGAAATCTAAACAGTTTACTATGTCATTAATATATATTAAAAATAAAAGTGGGCCGAGTATACTCCCCTGAGGCACACCAGATGAAATCATTTTAGAATTTGATGATTGATCATTATATACAGTAAACTGTTTCCTATTTCTTAAATAACTACAAAACCAAGAATGTGGTAAGCCTCTTATTCCATAAAATGATAACTTAGATAACAGTATTGAGTGTGAGAGAGTATCGAACGCATTCGATAGATCCATGAAAATAGTGATTGCATGTTTTTGTTTGTATTAATGCATTCAGGAATATGGTCATAAAGTTCAATCAATGCAAATTCAGTTAAACAGTTCTTCCTTAAACCATATTGGTTAGGACTAAGCAAATTATTCATGATAACAAAATTATACAATTTATTATATACCAGTCTTTCGAGAACTTTAGAAAACAATGGCAAAACAGATATTGGTCAATAATTATTACAGTCAAATTTACCTCCCTATTTATAAATAGGAATAACTTTTGCTTTTTTCATCTTATAAGGAAAGACGCCGGTTTGTATACATAGATTATATATGTGAGTCAAGGGTTTAATAATGAAATAAACACTAGGTTTAAGAATATCGGGAGATATGTTATCGTATCCAGGGCTCTTTCCGGAACTAATATTCTTTATAACATCAACAACTTCATGTTCGGTAATAGGATTAAAAAACAAAGATTTGTCAGACATTTGAGGCATAAAGTCAGAGAATATTGCACTTGAATTTTGTAAAGATCGTGTAAGGTTATCTCCTACACTAAAAAAAAAAAAAAAAATCATTAAATATATTTGCCACATCAAACGGATCTTCTACCGTTAATATCTAGGTGAATAATTCCATTGGCTTTTGATGTTTTGTTTCTACCTAGAATTTCTTTAAAAATTGCCACGTTTTCTTTAAATTTCCTTTGAATTTGTCAAATTTTTCATTGACATATTTTCTTTTAGCAAAACGTAGAAGCGTATTTAATTTATTACGATATTTCTTAAATATTGCTTCAATTACACACGTTGGCTTAACACGAAATCGTTTATAAAATATATTGTTTTTCTCCATAGATTTTAAAAGAGCCCCTGTTATCCAAGGCTTTGTTATACTCTTGTTAATTAAAGATCGTTCTTTTTAGAGTAGGAAAACGCCCGTATTTTAAACTGAAACGGACACACATCCATACTCTCTATCTTTGTATGCCTTCTATTTTTCACCCCTTCCCCAGTTAATATCTTCTCTTCTGTGCGCTACATAAAGGACGCAGATCAGATCATCCAAAGTATTTATATGTTTGGTCCTTAAGTTTGCAATTGGCTGTGCATCGGAAATCAGATGGCTTCTACTGAAAGTGCGGTCTCCAACCAGGACTTCGAAATGAATTGTACCTGGGTTATCATCCATTTCCCAGCACACAACTTCAAATTCTTTTCCCTGACGTATCTCCTGCATGTATTCCATAGTGTAGGTCTTCAATTTGTAGTGAATTAGCTCATGATGAAACGACCTGAGAAACCCGGCCACAGCTGCAGAACTCCCTGCATCATACATGAATCGCAGATATGATGTTTGGTTAACGTGTCTATTGTAATCAACATCCCTCCACTGCACTGTAGTCTTCCACCTGAAGACATCACCATTGTCAGGCTGCAAGGGTAAGAACTGATGTCTCTGCGGTGGTGTATTCATGGTTGTCTTGTCGACATACTTCTTGATGATCTCGGAGTCGATAGGGGCGGGCGTTCCTTTGTTGACATCTATCGCCACGCACTGCATGATGCCGGACAGATAGAGAGCCTCTGACTCTGCGTCTCGGAGATCAATGCCGTCGTACATAGATGTTCTTCCCAGAAAGGCTATGTACGAATCGTACCTGACTGGACGAGAAACGAAGTTCGTAACGTGGTATGCAGGAAGGAAGTTTAAAGGCCCACTGCACTACTTGTAGCTACTTGCGCCCTCTATATAACAAACAATACCTAATCGGTGACCATTGGTCCCCCATGATCCTCTTTTTCTTATGTTAACTGAGAGCTGAGTTGATGAGATAACCACCTGTCCAGTGACCTTGCAGGGCAGTTTAATCCCTCCTGTAAACTACGGCAGATAAGCTTTAAAGTGAGACTGCGACCAAAGAAAGGTAAGTCGTCGCTCTCATCAAGTGATGGAGAATGCCGATAAGTCGCAAGTTGAATGTTGCCAACGTGGCAGTGAGGATGAATGCTTCCTATACAAAAAATAGAAGGCAAAGAAGAAACATGATAACAAGTTGAATACATCATAACCATCTAAGAATATAAAATAAAGGTGTTCATAGAGTATAGGTGCGCAAAATTGGAAAGGATAGCATAGTTGCAGATGCCTTTATAAGATGTGTACATTTTTTGCATTGTTTGTTAAATGCAGAGGAAAAATATCTTGCGCTGGAAGAGATCGGTTTTAATTGTAAATGGAGATCCATTATAATAATAATAATAATAATAATACATAACATTTATTAGGCGCTTAATACTGATGTTTCTAAGCGCACAGTGTTCTGATTAAGAGAAGACTATAACCCGTAGAATTAAATTAGAAGAAAAAGCAAAAATACAAAAGTAACATAGATAAGGTAAGAAAAACAGTGGCAATCAACTAAATAAAGACAAATAGATAATAGAAGAGACTTCGATGGTAAGCGCTTTATAATTAACGTTTATATTATTATTATTATAAATTTTGTTCACTACTCTTTTCCTCTTCGTTAACATGTTACAAAAAACAACCTATGGTACCAAGTGACATTCTGAAAAAGAGCATTTGAACAAGGAACAGAGTAATATGGATATAGATTGTTCTAAGCCATATATGACATTTCCCATCAGTGTTATAAACATACTCTGCGAATGTGCACAAGCTTCAGGGTTGTTTCACAAAGACTAAGATCGACTTAAGCTTGACTTGAACTATAGAACACCGTTCATGCCACTAGTTGCTCTCATCATTGGTCTCTCAGGGGGAAGTGCAAATCATGGTTATAAATCTATAGAATTAACATTTCTTGATATTTCATAATTGTTGAATTAAAACATACTCAATTTAAGGTTAACCTATGACTTGGACTTTAATAGGCTAGGTTATTCATTCTCCTAAAAAGTCTTAAACCGGACGTAAAATCAGAGGAGAAATACGTACCTTTATATTACGATCTTTAGATAATCTTTAGATAACTATACAAAATGTCAATTCTTTAGATTTGTAATCACAATTTGCACGTCCCTTGAAAGACCATTGCCAGGAATGGTAAGAGCAACTAGTGGAGTGAAAGGCCTGTCATAGTAGAAGTCTAACTTAAGTCGATCTAAATCTTTGAGAAACACCTTCTGGCATAATAGCGAAGTAATTGGCGAAATAATTGGGAGTATTTAATGCAGATTTTGTTATGGCTTCCTTGATCAATACCGGAATATTCGTGTCCGTTTTCATATTTTAAATATACAAATAAACGTATATCTCTAGAACTATTATTGTTAGTATTTAAAACTAATGAACAATGATCAGGGGCGGCGACTTCTTTTCAAGACTAGGGGAGGGGGACGAAATGCGAGATGTTTTTAAAATATATATTTTGTACATTTTGAAAGATAATATACGAGTGAGTGCAACGACCGAGCGAGAAGATTTGTTTGCATTTGTATTAGTCTTAATGCTGCACTCTTAGGCCCTCCAGAGCCTACAAGTGTGTTGCGGTCGTTAGGCAGCATTTGCTATAAATTTGTTTGGCACTTTTTAAAATTTTCCGGGGGGGGGGGAGGGAGACGATTCCCCCGTCCTTCTCCGGGATCGCCGCCCCTGGCAACGATAATAGGCTAGAATAAAACAAAAAAGCCTTTGCAACTGTCGTCTGAAGAAAACAAAGTTAAGTTCCTTACCAATTTTGTCAAAATCATTCCAACCGAACTCCTTTAAATGATAGGATCTCGGATATTTGTTCGGGATGTTCCGGAGGACATCCTTCAGGAACTTGTGAAATTTAGTGTGCTCCTTGGTTTCGTGACGTTGTTGGATAGTGCAGCTTCTCGTGTAAATTTTGCGGATTCTGCGAAAAGGATCAAACAAAGATTCCCCTTTTCTCAATTACTTCTGTACAAAATACGTTTACTTACAGGAAATCATTTCCTTATCTATCGGAAACCAAAACTAATGAAGAAAATCCTAAATTTCCCGACTTCATATTTCAATTTTTTATATACACGTAGTTACATATACTTATACGTACATACATACTGCACGCACTGTTTTGATGACTTTGACCTGGAAAACCAAGTTATGTACGAAAGACGTCATGACCTTTTTGTGACCTGTTAAGTACTGACTGAAAAAAAAGGATTTCATGCAAGTGGAATCAAGTCCATTGAAATACCTGCAGGGCATGTTTACCAAATCTTTTGTGAGCTCTGTTACACTCTGGTAGAGATCTAGAGTCCCCGTCGAGTCAATTTCGACATGGCATGCTTATGAGAATAGCTTTGATAGAATAAATGGTTGCCCTTATAATTAAACGGCTCACGCAACATAACAGGCAACATAGCGAATCTGGATACTAATAATGAAATTATAATTGTATATTCTCCTTTGTTGTGCAATAAAGTGCTGTTAAAAAAATAAATAATAATAAAAGTAATGATAATGACGATGATGATATTAATAATAATGATAATCATAGTAATAATAATGAAAATAATAATAGCAGTAGTAGTAGTAGCAGTAATAACAACAACAATAATAATTGTATGTTCATTATTATTAATAATAATGAAAATACGCATATCCATCTCCTTAGAGATGCTCAATTGGCGCCTTCAAATTAATAAACATTCAACATACGCACTACAATATACGAAATACAGCCAATAACATGAACAGGGTTAACATATATTGTTATAAGTGTTAATACTCCCTTTGAAAAACCCGGCCACTCTACATGACATATATATGAAGAAAAAAAGAAACACATTGGCAAAATACCGAAGCTCTTGGAATTGCCTTCCAACAAGACTACACTGTACGGGCTTTGAGGCTATAAATAGCCTACATATCTAGTAGCGAGTGATGGGATTCGTGTTGCATATATATATGATCGTTTACGAGAGCAAATTAAATGCATATACCTATATGTATACTCGTGTCACCCTTTAATATTGGCTTTCACTGAATTACTTGGTATTTGAAAAGCGGCAAATATGGTTGTTCTCTTTCGGGATTTTTGAAAATTCTGAGAGAAATATTTCCTACCTTGACGATGTTAACAAATGCCTCTTCGTCGATTTATATGGTCCAATGCACGCCCTCGGTGTGTAAAAGAACAGACATTTGATAGAGTCTAGAAACATCATTGTGTATTGTATCAGAGGGAAAACAGTAATCGAATTCAGCAGCACTAATATATCTATACACTGAATAGTAAACACCTTTCCATACAAACGAATGCACGGTGCATATTTAGTACTTGTCCAAAGCTTACTACAATGAGATTGACCTTTTACGATGACCTCGGCATGTCTACAGGGTATGTCAATAATACGAGATTGATAACTGTATATCAAGCTTAGTATGTACAAGTATTTTAGCCAGATAAGGGCTATATTTTAACTCACATATCCCTGCTTCTGTTCTCCTTAATTTTTTTTTAATATCTGTTAATCCTCACACAATTTAAAGTGAGCTACTGAATTTGTTTGTTTTTGCTTACGTACGTCATTATTATTTACTAATAATAATGAGTATTGATATTGTAAGAAGTACGTTTGCTTTGTATCACTTGAAGAATATAAATGTATGTTAAATGAATGGTATAGATGTGGCAACGTCTCAAGTCTTTGACCTATATTGCCAAACCTCTGCGTGTTTCTCCGTAGTACACACTAAAAAATAATGGTACAAATTTGCACCCTATATATATTTTTTTAGTGTAATTGCCTTTTTAAAGTTTGGTTGCTATTGTTTACTCCCACGTTGATCATACCCTGCAGTTTGAGGAACCATGCAGAAACAAATAAATAAACAACTAATTTATCCTCTTTTTTGTTGTTGAATTATCATGGTTCTTTTTTTGTGATTGTGTTGAGGAAAAAGTCAAATATTTTCATACTCTGTTCCTTATCGAACTCACTGAAAATGCGAACAAAATTATTGCAATCAAAAAATTAGCAGGATCCGGAAACATTAAAAATATTTCTGTTTGGTATTGCTGATTCTTCGGGAGCCTTGTCAGGGCCACATGGAAAATGTATTATTTTAACGCCATCAGATTTACGATCAACGAACAAATCATGGCAATAAAAAAGTTTAGGCCTATTAATTCATGAATTTTATTGCATTATTTATTTATTTGTCAATCGCATAGGTATACACAATGATATATATGCATTTCTTTAAACGCGATCTACAATTCGATTTATAATAATAAAGTGAACCCGATTCCTTTAATGCCTACACCTACTTTTCTCGACTCAATCTTATGTGACATATTTAATACCAAAAGTGTAGTTAAATACCCGTGATTACATTATAACGTTCTTCTACTATTATTTGTGCACCAATATGTCATGAGAGACATGATTGTATAAATTTGGATTTCGCAATTCGTCCTTTGGCCGCGATGAGATGTTATTAATAAACCATTTCATTCTAAATTTCATTACATTTTTAAAGAGTCAAAGTAAAGTCATTAAAAGATGGTATGAAATCGTATTTCTTTAACTGAGACGTAAGGGTTGGGTTAAGGGTAAAGGCGGCGCTAACGGGGGGGGGGGGGGCACAGTACCCCCACTTTTTCAGGTACCCACAGGTGCCCCTTTTTACGTAGGACAAGTGTCCTTTTTTATTTTGATAAGTGCACCCCCATTTTTTTCATTTTATTCACTTTCTCATAAATGTCCGTTTTACACCTTTGGTAAATGCCCTTATTGA